TGTGTATAGTGTCTGTCTGTATATCACTGAGTGTGGGAGTGTCTGTATATCACTGAGTGTGGGAGTGTCTGTCTGTATATCACTGAGTGTGGGAGTGTCTGTCTGTATATCACTGAGAGTGGGAGTGTCTGTCTGTGTATGTGTGCATCAGTGGGGGGTTGTCTGTATGTCTTTGTGTGTGAGGAGTATATGTATACTACCTGAGTACCCGGCCTTGCTTGGGGTCGACGCCTTGGCGCCACTGCTCCTACTGGTCTACGCCACGGAGGCATTTTACATCTACACTGCTGTCTAGCCTTGCACAGTCACACCTGTCCTCTAGATCTATATTGCTTTAGATTAGGTCTGCCTTGATTAACTCCTGTCTTGATCTACATTGCAATGCTTCACAATCACAAAATATGGGTTTCGCCTTACACCATCATAAAAAAGCACTAAGAAAATAATAATCCACGAAAGGGTTGCTACACTGTAAAAGGAACACACCGACGTCTTCAAAATCACAGAGGCAGTGTCTATAGCTTGTTCACTTTCCTCTGACAGCGTTTTAAAAAATTTGAGCACATTGACAAATTTACCTATGCCCACGAAACTTTGCATGGCACTTCTACAGTCTAGCGACCAAACAAAATAAAATTTAAAAAATCTTGACCTTGTCATAAAAATGTTTTTCTCTTTGAGCCCTATATTAAAAACTACTCTTTGGATGCATACACAGGATCATGTCTCCACATACTACAGGTGAGTCTCGAAAATAACCCACCCCATCTCTCGAATCGAGTTTCTTAGGCGAACGTTAAAGAGCGGTAATGAACTTCCGTTGTGAAGGAGAACTACGCAGATTTGTTTAGTTTCTCAGTAGAATAATAACAAAGGCCAAAGACGGGCGGGAACTTTTTGTCAAATATATTTCTCTAAATTCAGGAAAAGATTAAATCAAAAATCGAGCTTCACCATGGGGACCTATCTTTTGGCAGGTACTTGCCAACTTTCAACTCTGTAGCTGTCGTAGTCTTATGGGAAAAGTGACACATGTGTTACTAAGTTGCCAAATATATAATAGATGTATGTGGGAAGTATCCGTCTGTGTGTATGTGTGTGTGGCGTGTCTGTGTGTATGTGTGTGTGGCGTGTCTGTCTGTGTATGTGTGTGTTTTGTGTGCGTGTTTGTGTATGTGTGTGTTTGTTTGTTTGTTTGTTTGTTTGTATAGTGAATGTGGTATCCCTTACTTTACTTTTACTTTTACTTTAACTTTTATCCGCCGCTTATACCTTTTGTGGTTGCTGGAAGACAGGGACGTCTCTCTGCCACCAGCCGGTGAGCTTGGGTTAGGGTGATGCCGTGAATTGTTAATGTTTCCCTGACTCCATCTATCCAGGTCTTTCTCGGTCGCTCTCTAGCCTTGGTGCCATCGAATTTTTTATGTAGGCACGTTGTGCTGGGTGGTGTGTTGGTAATCGCACGAGATGTTGGAACCATTAGATTCTTTTGGTGTTGGAAGTGATGCATGACATCATTTGAGTCCACCATTTCTCCGATTACTGTGTTTCTAATTCTGTCTAGCTTGGGATGAATATGGTGTTGATCATCTTGAGTTTTGTTATCATGGGGATGTTAGGATGTTTCAGTAGTGGAGTAAGCGTGTAACTAACATTATAGGCATTTTATACTCGTGTTTCAAATTTCTCTGTTCAATCGCCCGTCCTCTGTGAATATACTTCCGAGGTACTTCAATTTTTGGACCTGTCTGAGACTGTTGTTATTGATGTGTATCC